ATGATTTATGTGAGGATCATTGGAGTGCCATAAGCCTCGAACGTTTCATAGGAGACTAATGTGAGTGAATGGTGTGCAGAGGGGTTCTCGGTTCTTTGACTGGTCAAGGAGCGCCTTGACTCCTCTCGCGCTGGTCAAAAGCGCGAAAATCAAGACCCGATCGTGGGTCCAGGTACACGTGTGTGGAACCACTGGGCACGCGCGTGTGCCGTGCACTGTTGCGAGCGTGCTTTACAGTACAAATGTTCTGGCTTAGAAGCTCTTCCTAAAAGAGTTCCATTTCCTTAACGAGTAGATTTTTCACATAAGTCCTATGTGTATCCCCTCTTCTTCAGTCCTCTTTTTGGCGGGAAATGTTGCATCTTGACTGAATCATTGCACAAATCAGTTTCGCAGCCAATCAGAGAACGCAAATCGAACCTGTCAGAACATTCAGAGAAACTAAAACGAAAGGAAGTTTTGATTCACTATTTCTTTTTTTGCATTGTGTTTGTCTGTTTATCTTGACCGCTCTTGTGTCGAAATCTTGTTACGCGGCTCCCCGCGAGCTCTGACGGTGCCTCCTCATTAATCTCGCTTACAGTGTAAAACAAAAAATGTTGTTTTTCCTTTCGGCCTTAAAAATAATTTATTTTGTATTTTTCTGCCTGTTTGTCCTGCGACACTGATCAACGCGGCGAACCGTGCGACGAGAAGTTGAAGACAGCGTAGTCCGAATGTACGTATGTGCCAGAAAAACACGAATAGTATGTATGTGCCAGAAAAACACGAAGAAAAATCTCTCTTCATGCAATTGTTCTTTTATGGGACTATAAGTTCCCTTTTGCCCTGGGTTTGTGAGTTTTCCACAAAGGCCCGCAGCGCGCGCGTTTTTTACGGGGACTCTAATCGATAACATTTGTATTAACGCAACAAGACAGGGCCCATTTCGGCCCTGTCACGTACTCTACACGCGCATGATTTCGATCATGGCGCACTGTAGAGCACGACCGAGAAAAAATCTCGGTCGTGCGTGTGGCACGAGGGGTGCTTGAATTTACAGTTGAAAAACTGTTTTCCGAGTTGACTCACGGAACGGAAAATTTCTCGCGAACGTCATGCCGCATTGCGGAATAATTTCGCCACAGGTACAATTCGGTTTCATGCGTCATTCAACGGTTAAATCCGTTTTACAGCTGTAAACTCGCATGAGTTACATTGGAGGAACTGTGAGCTATGAGTGCTCATGCAAGGAGTCAGCAGGAGCAATTGTCCTAAGTGAAAATTGAATACAGGTTTTTACAAGAGGAGGAAGAAGACAATAGCCCAAGAAGTTGTGCAACCATTTTCAAGTACAGCATGGCGAAGATCCGAAATTTAGTTATACAATAGCTTTGCTACTTTCCTTTGTGTGTGTGTTAGACGGAGTATAAAATGCATGCTTGTGCTTAATTGTAATCAATCCTTTCCAATGGAAATACTTTCTGAATCTCTTTGGCGAGTTGAAGTGCTCTATCAACGTATTGACGTGAAGGGCTATTCTGCACACGAGCCCATTTCGTTGTCAACGCTGTGCAACGGATTTTGGGAACGCTCTAGAACGCACAACTATTTTTGCACTTAGGAAATTCCCTCTACAAATACAGACCCTTGGATAGGGGCTGGCTCTGGCAGGCACTCAAGGACCCTTGGAGGTGACCCCGTGGGGAGTACCTAGTGTGATTTAAAGGTGTGTTTAGAGCCTATAGATCCCAAACACCTGTCAACACGTGGTATCAGAGCTGTGGTTTTAAGGATTGCCGTTAGAACAACATGGAGTCGAGCGGAAACGAAGGATCAGTGGCACGAGCTAATAGTGGAATCCAAGATGATGGTGGTTCAGCGCCAAGGGGAGCGCTGACCAGCCAGGGCTCACTATTGAAGGATGTGCTCAAGAACTTTGTCGTCAACAAGTTCAACGGAAGTGGCTATGACGATTGGGCATGGAAAATGCAGCTCTACTTTCGGCAAGTCGGATTATTAAAGATAATGACGGGTGTGGAGAAGAGGCCAAGCAACCCCGCCCTGTAAGAGGAGTGGGACGAGCGTTTGACCGCTGACTACTATCTCCTATCTCAGAGCTTGGAGCTGATCCAGCAATCGCATGTGATGCATTTGCTGGAGAAAGATGATTGCGGGCCTCAAGCTTGGAAAGTGCTCAAGGATTTGCACGCGCCAACTTCAATGGTTGCAACGCTCATGCTGGAGCGGGAGTTGGCGTCATTGCGGATGGGTGAAGGGGAGCCGATTCAGCCGATGCTTGACAAGATGAGAGAGTTGTATGCAAAACTGCAAATAGGCGGCATCACCTACTCGGAGCAAACGAAGTGTCTCAAGATGTTGTCATTGCTGCCGGAGTCATAAATGGTCTTCACAAGCGGCTTGAGCCTTCCTCAAAACCAGAGCCTCTGGACTCTTGAGTGGGTTCGAAGTAAAATCATAGAGGAGGAGTTTAGGAGGAGGCAATTGAGCCAAAACTATGATGGTGATGGTGGGTACGGAGTACAAGGCAGCAAGTGGCGTAAGGGAAATGGTCGTGGTCAAGGTGAACATGGACCAGGCGGGAGCGGCCGATTTAAAAATAGGCGTGATGAGAACAAACAGAGGAGCACAAGTGATTATGAAGAAGAAGATGATCGTGGCGGCTACCGTGGGTTCAAGGGCAGCTGCTGGTATTGCAAGAAACTGGGACACACATGGGCAAAATGTTGGAAGCGGCCCAAGTGGTGGATACCCAGATGTGAGGATGATGATGGAGAGGAGAACGGTGCTGGTTATGTAGCAGAGACCGCAATGGAAGGGGGAAAAGATTATGAGCGTGCTCCAGGACAATTTTTCCATGTGCAAGGGAATGGGGGGAGCGAGAAGGCATCCGTGAAAGAGGGAGCAGAGCCACCTCCTCTCAACACATGGATCCTAGACTCTGGAGCAGCATATCACATGACCCCAAGGGCGGACCTGCTTATTGAGATTGGGAGAACGGGCATCAGTGAAATGAAATCAGGGTGCGGACACAAAATGAAAGTGATGGGGGTCGGCAAAGCAGCCTTCAAGGGAGCTGATAGGAAGCCGATCGTCCTGTAAGAAAGGCTTTTGGTGCCTGAGCTGAAAGGGGATCTCATTTCCCTGAGGCAGTTGGGAATTGCAGATGTTTGCACGGAAACAAATGGAGCCGAGACATTCACGGGGAAGCTCGGTGACCGTGTGTTGTGGGGCCTGCATGAAGACAAAGACATGCTTGATAAGCTGTGGCATGTACCCATGGTGCCATGGAAGGAGGTGGTACTTGAGAAGCAGAATGGGGTGCGTAGCTGCAAGGGAGAGTGTGCTACCTTGGCTGCTGAAACTATTAAGGAGCTGAAATCTACAGTGGAGATGCTGGTGCAGCAGTTGAAGCAGGTCAACGCCCATCTTGCAGCAGCTGAAAAGAGAAATGTGATTGGTGCCGATGAGAAAAACGGTGCAGATTTGAAGGGGAGCACAGTTGCGGATGCTGCTGAAGACAAGGAGACAGAAGTTCCCTAGAGTGACACTACTGAGGAGCAGAAACACAAGGCCATGGTGCAGCTGAAGGGTGCTGATAAGAAGGAGAAATTTTTGGTGTTGAATGTGGGAGTTTATGCAACTAATGGGGCTGAGGTGTTCGGTGAACCCAAGGTGAATCCGAATGTGAAGGAAGCTGAAAGTGTGGGGGAGCAGGCAAGTGCATTTCCTAAAACTGGAGATGGGATAAGCTATGCGGCGGCGCTGGTGAAAGTCAAACACAAAGAGTTAGTTCAGGAGGGAAATCCGTTTGGCAAGTATATGAATTCTCCTATGCCAATGACGGAAGCAATGAAGGGAGCTGTCATTTCTAGTGATGTCGTGAGTGGATTCGAAAAGTCGCCAGGTTGAGGGGGAGTTTGTTGGGCGCAAATAAGTAATTTGCATGTCAACCTACCGCCTATACGAGGACGATAAAAGAAAATGGGAATTATATTTTGAAGGTAATTTGTGGCGTGAGAAATGTCATTCCATTTTGCATTTTGTGTCAAACTCATATGCTATAATCACTGTAGACTGTAGCGGGGTAGACAATATGGGGTACAACACTTTTAGGTTTTCCTACTTGTACCCACCTGTTTGCCAGTGCATTCATTCCTCATTTCTTCACATGGTATAGAGCAGGTTCCCTAGTGGGAACTTTTCCTGGGGCCCACCACTAAAAATCGAGTTTTCTAATTTTTTTTTTCCCTGCCATGAGATCGAGTCGCCCCTGACCAAGGCACGCCCTGTGTGCCGCCCTCCCCTTAGCGACCCGTCGCGCCGCCCTTAGCGCCCCCCCCCCCCCCTCTCACAGCCCCTCGCAACCCCGTCGCCGCCCCCTAGCGACCCGTCGCGCCGCCCTGAGCGGCCCGTCACGCCGCCCTCAGCGGCCCCTTGCAGCACCACCTCCACGGCCCCGTCGCCGCCCTCTCGCGGCCCTATCGCCGACGTTCGCAGCCCCGCCGCCGCCCTTAGCGGCCGTGTCGCCGCCCGTTGCGGCCCTGCAGCCGCTCCTCGCGGCCTCGTCGCCGCCCTCTCGCGGCCCCAGTGCCGCCCTCTTGCGGCCTCATCGCCGCCCTTAGCGGCCCCGTCGCCGCCCCTTGCGGCCCCGTCGCCGCCCCTTTCGGCCCCTCCCCGGCCCCTTCACCGCCGAGCCGCCAAGCAGCCGAACCGCCGAGCCGCCGAACTGCCGAGCCGCCGAGCCGCCGAACGGCCGAGCCGCCGAGCCGCCAAGCAGCCGAGCCACCGAGCCGCCGAGCCGCTGAACCACCAAGCCGCCGAACCGCCGAGGCCGCCGTCGAGCCGCCACTACCGAGCCGCTGCCGCCGAGCCACCGTCGAGCCGCTAGTGCCATTGCCGAGCTACTGCCACCGCGGTTGCAGCCCTGTTCCTACTGGCGCGCCCCGGCCCTACCCACCCAGATTGGTGAGAGCACTCCCAGCTAGACCACTGCTTTCATGGCTACCCCCAGTGTCCTTACCTTTGATGTTGAGGGCCGTGCTGTTGACTTCGAGGTCAGGGTCGATGACCTACAGCTCTTCCTACAGTGCGATAGGGCAGACGGACTCTCCCTGTTTGATCTCACCTCTGGTGCCTCTCGTGCCCCGCCTGCTGATGCTGACACCACTTTTCGCTCATAGTGGGCCACACGCGATGCTGCTGCCCATCTTGCTGTGCGTCGCCACTTACCGACCGCTGAGCGTGCGCACTTTAGTCAGTACAAGAGTGCTAAGACCTTGTACGACGCTGTCGTTGCACGCTACTCTTCCCCTGCCATTGCTGCTCTTAGCCGCCTCATACTACCGTACTTGTTCCCTGACCTCCCCGCCTTTCCCACAGTCGCTGACCTCACTACGCACCATCGCACTAGTCACACCCGCTACCGCGCTGCGCTTCCTGCTAAGTTCTGTGCCAAGAACCCTCCCCCCATGTACATCACCCATTACTACATAGTTACCCGGCTCCCTGACTCCCTTCGCTTAGTCAGGGACCACTTCCTCTCAGTTTGCCCCACCACACTTACCGTTGACCTTCTCGAGGAGCGCCTCCTGGCAGCAGAGAAGAGCATAGTCGCTGTAGGAGCCTCTCGTGGTGACCCTCGTACCCCCGTCTTTGAGGGGTGTTCCCCCTCCCCCCTCTTCCTTTCTATTGCTTCTGCTGTTGCGGCCGACCTCGTTGGCTTCGAGTCGGTCGGAGGTGCGTCTGCCCCTAGCGGGAGACGCCGCACCGGCAAGGGCAAGGGGGGCAAGGGCGCTGGAGGGGCTGGCGGGGGCGGTGGAGGTGGCGGTGGAGGTAGTGGAGGGGGTGGGGGTGGTGGTGGGAGTGGTGGCGGGGGTGGAGGTGTCGGTGGCAGCAGTGGAGGCGGAGGAGGCGGCGGCGGTGGCGGTGGGAGCGGAGGCGGCGGAGGTGGCGTAGGCGGCGGCGGCAGCGGTGGAGCTAGTCGCGGCTCTGCGCAGAGGAATGGCTCCGGTGGTGGTCCGCGCCAGCTGCAGCAGCGCACTCGTGAGACCCCGTCCCCCCAGCAGCTTCGTAAGTGGTACGCTGGGCGTCAGCGAGGTGGGGGTACTGGTCCCTGTACCTACGTCCTCCGTACCGGCGACCGCGCTTGTGAGCAGTGCGGGGGCTCGCACTCCGTCCAGCGCTGCTTCGGCCGCCTGACGGACGCTTGGCGTCACCGCTAGGGCGGCTCGTCGAGTTAACAGCCCGAGGCACGACTCGGGATGAGCGCGCTTCGGGCAGTAAAAAAAATCGAAGTGGTGGGCCCTAGGCGCAGTTCCCATAGGGGAACCTGCTCGATACCATGAGAGAAGTTGAACGAGAATGAGATGACTAAGTGAAAGTTGGGTACAAATGCAAGCCCTAGAAAGCTGTACCCCATATGTACTACCCCACTATAGCCTACAATAGCTATGTTATATATATCTGACATTGCGGGCACGTGGGTCATTCTAACCATGAGGGATTACTGTGCTGTCTGGGTTTCCATGGCAGGCCGCTCGCACCAACGAGCTAGTGTTGACGAAGAAGTATCGAGCTATGTGGGTTAGCGGTCCACCGGATGCAGTAATGACGGAGTACAATTGTGCGCTGGGCGAGGAAATGAAGTTCCTGTGCGATGAGATCCATGCACTAGGTTTGAGTGCGACCTCAGTGCAGGTAAGGTTTTTGAAGTATTACAGTGTCGGGGCTGGGTTCATTCGCAGGCGTTGACCACGCGTGTGGTTTATCCAAACTTGAAATTTCGACATGATAGTGGTATGCGGTTTTGTATGCAGGCGCACAACGCACTGGCCATTCCACGCACCCAAGGTGGCTCCTTGGTTCCCAAAGGCACGTTTGTGAAGGCCTCCTCGAGGGAGAAATGGTTTTCGGACGTGGCTGTCATGGATACCTCATGCAAAGGAGAGTGGTACGCTAAATGCCTGTGCATTTTCACCACAATTGACGCGGAAGGCACTAGGAAGGCGTTTGTGTACCTGAGGTATTACGAGGAGGCTGGTCAGTGTCCGCTCACCACGTGCAAGCTGCTCTGCCCCAAGCGTGACAACGGTAGATACGTCGTGGTGGAGGTGGAAAGCATTTTACGAGTGGTGCATGTTTTCCCCTCTTACAGCAACAGCAAGGTGTTGTTGCTGAACAAGTTCATGTTGTGTGAGTAAGGAGGGTGGCATAGATTCACGTCTACCTTGTTTGTTTGTAGGGGTTTGTTTGGGTTGCTGCTAGGTGGTTTGTTTGTGGATCTATGCTTGTCTGTCTACGCTCTAACGCTGGTCCGCATATGTGTACGTAGCTGTTACAACCGTGTGAAATAAAACGAGCCTAGCATTACGCCCAACGCTGCCAACTGCTGGGCCTGTACGATAGTACACGTGCTGTTGCAAAACATATGTGTTGTGCGCTGTATGATGTAAATGTGCTAGAGGTAGGCTTTGTTCGTTTTTGTGGTATTTGAGTTTGGTTGGCTTAATCAGTGCATTATTGCGGACATTTGGGGTATGCATTTCTTGTGGTCGTGGTGTGTGGCCAAATTGTGGTGTGTGTATGCGGGATTGTGTCTCCGGTTGACGTGGAACCCATACGTATGTTTCGACGACGCGGTTGGTAGTTATTGTTGTGTGTGGATTACGGTATTCTCGGGTTGACCACTTGCAACGCGTCAACCAACGAATGTACAACGTCAGCTGCGATGTGCGGTTGTAATCGAGCTGGGTGTGTTCGTGTGGTTGTAGAGGGTTGTTGTGTAGTAGTGGTGTTGGGTTTTGTGGTATGTGTTACGCCCGTTTGTTTCGATTGTGCTCGAGTGGATATGCAGTTGGCGTTCCGTTAACCAGCCAATGGTCATGTTACACATGGTGCCTCCAAGTACATGTCTTATCGGTGTTGGGTTGCGGTTCCCGAGTTCAGAACTCGGTTTGCCGTTTCTAGTTTGGCGGGCGACTTTCTCATAAGAAGGGGAGTCATCTCCTTGTTGAACATCAGTTCCGCATTTCTTCTCCCAGATTGTCACGGCAGCATACGTGTACCCTCTGTTACAGGATGGCTAGTGTCAAAGCTCTTGTCGAGGCAATGAAGGCTGGACCCGATGATGTGTTTTGGTTTGTGGAGATGCATTTCCTTCTTTCGCGTCTGCCGAAGTGGTCTCTTCAGGAGTATCCACGTATCCTCATATGCGGGGAGCGCGTCATAACTATTGGCATCCTATTCAACGCGGCTGGCAACTGCACGGCGCTGCCTCTCGTCATTCTACGCCCTGATGAGCGCCCCGACAGCAGCAGAATAAACCCGGGTGAACTCGAGGTGGTTGTGCGCTACACGAAGAGCGGAAGATTGACCCCCCGAGGTATGGGATGGAGGTTGCACATGCATTTGTATTGTGGGATCCTGCTGGCGCATGTGTGGGTTTACGTCTGTGCCACGGTTCAATCCAGTTTCGTACGTCGTGGTTTTGTTTGTTGGCAGATATTCACAGAGTACATGGACGAGATAAATAACGATCATTTCAGCAAGGACCGGAGAGTGGTCATCCTCGTGTGCAACGAGGGGCATCGCATCAAAGAGCCAGTGTCACTGCCGACCGTGGAGCACGGTTTTCATGTGGAGCACCTACTGTGTATGCGGATTGTTAACGTCGTTGGCGCCGTGCCCGTGATGTGCATGCCTCATTTGAACGGCGTGGTTGATGCGTTCAAAGTGCAGTATCGTGTTTTCCTCATGTGTAGGGCTTTGTGCTTGAGTGAGTGTCAGCACAGGTATTCGGCGTCGCTTGCGGTTGTGGATAATTACGATATGCTGCGATGGATCGGAGAGGCGTGGGCGCAAGTTTCAAGCGCTACCATGCAGCATAGCTGGTGGCGTGCTGGCTATGTCCTGGTTTCGTGGACGTCCAGTTTGGGACACCTGCACGGCACGTTTGGGGCTGGGATGTACGAGCGGTTGGTGTCGACCACAGTTGAGTTGCAGATGTTGATCGAGCAGTTCAAGATTGAGCTTGGTACTTATATGAGCGCCGTTGAGTATGTGGATTGCGACGAGACACTCTTGGAGGAAGCGAGTATCGAGTTTGAGCCGATTTCCAGTGGTTCTAGTGGCGGCGGAGGGGAATTGTGCATCCCCAAAGGACCACTGATACGGGACCCACGTAGCAGGAGGCGCGTGATTCGTTCTGTGACTCAGGCGTACACACGCCATGCCGATGCGCTCGGCATCCCCCCTGCATCTGTGCCTGCTGAAGTTGGCGCACTGAACTAGGAGGTTATTAGCCGTCTGCGCAGGTTTCCGGTGAGGCGTTCCCGCACAGTCGTGACGCCTGACGAAGGGTCGTCGTTGGCGTGAGGTGCTGTGTCCTCCCACACCTTCACCCTTGACACGGGTGCTTCCCGCTCCTTCTTTCGAGACCGCACCACACTCAAGCCACTTAGTCGCCCAGTTGCGGTCTCCTTGGAAGACCCCTTCGGGGGTCTTGTCCTTGCCCACTTCTCCACTGTCTTACTATGTCCGGCGGCCCCCTCTAGCACCCTATCAGGTCTACACCTCCCCTCGTTCTCTAAAAACTTGGTGAGTGGTGCAGATCTACAGGATGGGGGAGTTCACCAGTTCACTCCTGCGAGTCAGCGAGTCACCCACTGCACGTGTGCTCGGACGGGCCGACACTTGGCCACGTTTACCCGTCGACCGGGGTCAAGCCTGTACACACTAACTACTGGTCCTCCCCAGTCTACTACGTCTGGTCAGGTATTTGCGTCGGGTCAGGCGTCTGCTGCGACGTCCATGTCTGGTCCTGAGTCTGCCCCCTGCTCGTGTCGTCTCCTGTCTCACCAGACTCTCCTCTGGCACCACCGCCTTGGTCAACCCTCCCTGCCTCGTCTCCGAGGCATGGCCTCCCGTGTCCTTGTCTCTGGTCTCCCCCGGTCCCTCCCTCCGTGGCCTGCCCCTACTTGCGTTCCCTGCATCGAGGGGCGGCAGCGCGCCGCCCCTCACTCCTCTGAGTTTCCTCCGACAGAGGCTCCGCTGCAGACTCTTCACATGGACGTGTGGGGCCCCGCCCGCGTCCGTGGCCAGGGTCACGAGCGTTACATCCTGTTGGTAGTTGACAATTGCTCGCGTTGCACCACGGTGTTCCCCTTGCGCAGCAAGGTTGACGCCATTGAGGTGTTGATCGACTGGATCCGCGCAGCTCGTCTCCAGCTTAGAGAGAGTTTCGGCTCGGACTTTTCTGTTCTGCGTCTGCACTCTGACAAAGGCGAGGAGTTTTCCTCTGCCCTTCTGGGAGCCTTCTGTCGTGCACTGAGCATCCGCCAGACCTTCACGCTTCCGGCCTCTCCACAGCAAAATGGGATTGCTGAGCGCCGCATTGGCATGGTCATGGACGTCGTCGCTCGTGCGGCTGCTCCCCATTTTCTGTGGTCGTTTTCGGTTCAATACGCAGTGCATCAGATCAACCGTCAACCCCGGGTCTCTTTGCCAGAGACCTCCCCCACCTTGCGGTGGACGGGGAAGGTTGGCGATGCGTCTACGTTTTGTGTCTGGGGATCTCGGGCTTTTGTCCGCGACCTGTCTGCAGAAAAGTTGTCCCCCCGTGTGGTTCCCTGCGTCTTCCTTGGCTTCCCCCCTGACGCGCCTGGTTGGCAGTTTTACCACCCCACCTCGGGCCGTGTTCTGTCCTCCCAGGACGTCACGTTTGACGAGTCGGTTCCTTACTACCGTCTCTTCCCCTACCGCACTGCACCCCTCCCCCCGCCGCCGCTCTTCCTTGCGCCAGGTCCCCCCCCGTTAGACCCCCTTCCCCCTCAGGCACCTGCCCCGTCACGTGTGTCCCAGTTAGACGCAGTCAAGCCTGTCAACGTAGCTGTTGACTCTGGTACTGCTGGGGGTGCTGAGCCTGGGGGTGCTGAGACTAGGGGTGCTGAGCCTAGGGGTGCTGACTCTGGGGGTGCTGGGCCTGGGGGTGCGGAGCTTGGGGGTATGGAGCCTGGGGGTGCTGAGCCTGGGGGTGCGGAGCCTGGGGGCACGGAGCCTGGGGGTGCTGAGCCAGGGGGTGTGGAGCCCGGGGGTGCTGGGTCTGCTCGTGTGGCCTCTGGCGGTGCTGGGTTTGGGGCCCCTTCGGGTGCTTCGTCGAGGCGGGAGCTACCCTCTCGACAGGAGCTGCGCGAGTGGTTTGCCTGGCGCTGGAGCCGTGCTGCTG